TATATATATATATATATATATATATATATATATATATATATATATATTCTAATAAACCAAATATATTTATATAAATTAAAATATATCTATATAAGTTGATATATGTTTACATTGCTTTAATATAAATATATATTTTAATATATAAACCATATTAAAAAGTTTATTGAGAAAGAAAAAAATAAAGAATTTTTTAGTGAAAATAAAGAAAATAAAGAAAATTTTTGAAAAAACAGACCACAAATAAAAAAGAAACATGAAATACCTAACTCACGTAAAGCATTTTTTTTTATGCATTAATAATATTAGGAGATCTTTGTATGAGAAAGATTATTCTAAGCAAGAGAGCTTCTTCAGTTCACACCTGAACCCTATCGTACTGCATTCATTCTTTGTATGCTGCCCCAGAGTTGTTGAGAGTGAACTGGGCGGCCATGTAAATTTTCTTAAATAAATAAATAAATTCATGAGCTAAGTGCTTCTTAATTTTCCTATCTGCTCATTTTAACCACATTGTGGAGTGAAATGCGTGCATTAGCCTTGACAATGAACCTTTATATGAATGCTCACAAGTTGGTTTTGCTGGCCCTCCATGTTCTTCCCATTCTCTGCCTAGCCAATATAAAATGTAAAGGGAGTTTCTCTCTAATAGTTGCACATGGAACTGGAAAACCTGAGTAAACAGCCATACACCGTCCTTTCCTATATACCCACTATAGCAGAGCTAGGATATAGGATGAATTAAAATTGCAAGTTTTTGTACACTCATACACATGCGCACACACGAAAGATTTTTAAACACTGAACTCAAATAGTATTTGAGCTGCATCTTAGAAAGCCTATACATTTCACTATTATTATTATTACTTTTTCCTGCCTTTTTTTACTATACATGGCAAACATACCCAATGCTGCTGCCTCCTCCCACAACTACAACTCTATGTAAGAGAGAGAGTAACTAAAGTCACCAGCCAGCTTTCATGCCTAAGAGATGTAGAACTCACAATTTAGTTTCTAGGCTAGCACATTCACCACTGTACCAAACTGGCTCTTTTTCAAATAAGTAATATAGCATTAAAAGAATTTCAGAAACAATTGGGAGACTTGACTAAATATGAAAATCTTAACAAAATCTTGGTTGTTTTAGCAACAGGCTGTCAGTGGCAAAATGAACAGGGGGCAATGAGCAGACCATACAAATTACGGAAAGGTAGTTGGAAGAAGGACCATAGATCTCCTATCATGGGTCTGTCCTGAAGAAAGCAAATGTGAATGTGAAGTCAACCAAGGGAGAAAGTAATCCCTGTATCTTGCTTACTTGTCTGGATAAGAAGAAAAAGATCTCTTCCCAACCAAACTAGGAAAGGAAAGTATTTTGAAAGTGCTAGTCTGATGGAGCATCACAACCCCAAAACCGTTTCTGTGCCTAGAAGAAAGCTAGAAGAAAAGGGGGTGAGGTGTAGCCCTCTTCTTTGATCCTGATGAAAGTGCCCCACATTGCTATTACATGGTATATGTAATAATATGGGCTGCTAATCAGATGTAGCTGGTGTTTATAATGGAATTGATAAAGATTGATGCTGCATGCACCAAAACATGTTCTCCAGAAACTGAAATAGATAATTAAAAGACACACAAGGAGATGGAGTATGGTTTTCTTCTGCAAAACATATCTCTTTCTTTGATTATCATAAAGATGCTGTTGAAGTATTGCAAACATTAAAAAGTGACTTTAATATTCTTCATTTCATGGAATTGAAAATATTATTATTATGTAGGATACAAATATTATTATTATATTATTATGTAGATATTAGTTGGATAAGTAACAGAATCATAGGGTTAAAGGGACCTCGAAGGTCTTCTAGTCCAATTCCCTGTCCAGTGTAGGAACTAAATAATAGTTATTTAGTAATCATATTTTAAAATGTATAAATATCTCTCTTTTTGGAATATCAGAACATGGCTCCCATCAGCCTGATGAAATAAGGGTCCAAAGAAAGGTTGCACAATCTAGTTTGCAAGATTTAGTTTCTTCAGCAAAGGGCATTTCAAATTACTTACACAGCATATCAACAAAATAACTTTTGATCTTGGCAACAGCAGTGATGGAGCAGTGTCTTTTCATGAAAGAGAGATGGGTAGTATATGGTATTGAATTAGTTTAGGGTGTATGTTTTTGAAAAGTAGTAGCTGAATGAATGCTACTAAGATTGAAACAGTCCATATAAGAGGCCAGAAATTACTATATTTGTACACAAACTGCAAGATAATGATCTCAGAATGACTAATAGTTAAAATGGGAATTTGAAGGAGAGAGAGAACACAAATCAGGAGCAGAAGAATTGAAATTACACAGTGAATGCTGAAAAGGATTTTACTAGACTTTTGGCATATAAACCATAAAGTAGAAAAAAAGGTAGCTATCTAGGGTGAAAAAAACAACAACAAAAGATCCAAATGTTGAGACACTGGATTTGTGTTAAACAGATGGAAATGCAAGAGGAAAGTATCTCTTTTTATTTTGGCATCTGTATTTGAGTTGCCATCTTCCTAAGAGGTTTACCTATTGCCATTGTTAGATTTTTCTTGGGTAAGATGAAGATATTGGATATTGGCTAGTCTT